TTGAAGACCATGCGGATGTCGGCCATGGAGTAGACGCAGACAGCAGAGCCTTTGAAGACCGACCTGAGAGGAAGGACCTGCTGCCACCCTCTGGCTTGGTGATGCCCCCACCGTGGCATCACCAGGACCCCCACCCAGCTGGGGACCCTCCCCTCCGCTGCTCTGTGCCGGGAGGTTCAGCACTCACCCCGAAGCAGAGAACACGGCGTAAATAACAGGGTTCTTGGTGTCCTGAGTCTGCTGGATGAAGACGTCCTCTTGGGACAGAAAGATGGGGGTGTCACCATGGGGGAGGTGGGACCCCCCTCACACCCAGGGACGCTGGGGCAGGGGGGAGAGCAGCTCCGCGTGGGAGAGGTAAGAGGTGGGGGGCAGCAAGGGGGACCCCAGCCCTCCCCAGGGTGCCTCCCAAGCTTGCAGGGGTGCAGAAGGCCCCCACCCTGCCCCTCGCCCACTCACGGAGCTCGTCGAAGTGTGTTTCGATCCCGTCGGGTCCCGGCACGGAGCAGACGAGCCGGGCCTTCAGGAAAGTGCTCCACTTGTTCACGAGGCAGCAGTGGCCCCCGTCGTCGTTCTGCAATGGAGGGATCCCCGCGCTCAGCCCTGCCCACCCCCCTGCCCGCTCCCCGCCTGCCCCGCCGCTCCACCTACCAGGCAGATGCGCCCGATGCGGGCGTCCCTTACAGAGCCCATGGGAAGCCCGCGCTCAGCCCTGCCCACCCCCCTGCCCGCTCCCCGCCTGCCCCGCCGCTCCACCTACCAGGCAGATGCGCCCGATGCGGGAATAGACCCCAGGGCTCAGCGGGGCATCGGCCGACTTCTCTCGGAAGAAGAAGTAGAGCTTGTCGTCGTTCCTCTCACTGCTGTCGGGGATGAGCTGGGCACGGACGAAGGCTGGGTCTGGAATGGCATAGCACGGCACGGCACCGTCAGCCCAGCGGCATCCCCCTGCCCCGTGCTGAGCCCCCCTCTCCTCCGGCATCGCCCTGCTCCTGGAAAAGCACTGCTGCAGTCGCAGGGCGAGAGCTGGATCTGGACCAGAGCTGCAGAGGTGGGCTGAGGAACCAGGTCTCTCTGGCGGTCATCGGTGCTCCAGGAGGGGCTGAGTATCCCTGAGGTCCCTGGGAGCATCCCCGAGGTCCACAGGGTGGAAGGCTCCAGCAGCTCTATAAGCAGGGCGCTGGGAACTGGTCTTCCCCCCCCCGGGGAGGAACCACACAGCCTGGAAGCTTCTCAGGAAGCTTCTCCCTGCCATCCATCAGCCGGTGCCCAGCCTGCGCTGACAGCTCCCCCTCTTCGGGTTACCGCCCTGCTGGCTCCCCGGCCCAGCAGGATCAGCCCATCTGCTCTGCTCTGTTTACTCAGCTGCCGCCCCGCGGGCAGGGGTGCTCTGAGGAGGGCAGGATGAGTGCTCGGGGTCACTGATTGCAGGCGACATGGTTGACATCTCAGCCCTGCAGAAACCCACGCACGGATTCCGGCAGAGCCAGCCCCATCTCTCACCAGCTGGCTGCTCCCACCGCCCAGCAAAGCCCCTGGCACGTCTGTCACCGTGCCCCACACAGCTATCCCTCTGCCCATCTGCCCTAGATTTCCATCCATCCATCCATCCATCCATCCATCCATCCATCCATCCATCCGTCATCAATCCATCTATCTGTCATCCATCCATCCACCCACCCATCCATCACCCATCCATCTGTTCATCCATCAGCCATCCATTCATCCATCAGCCATCCATCCATCCATCCATCCATCGATTTGTCCATCATCCATCCATCCATCGATTTGTCCATCCATCCATCCATCCATCCATCCATCCATCCATCCACACCACCACCCATCCGCCTGCCCATGCTGGCTACTGTCTCTGTCCTGGGAGAAGGACACAGTACAACATGACGGGCCTCATCTCTAGGGCTGGGGCCATGAGGTCCCCAGGGAACCTGGGCCAATGACATCCCAAACTCACCGTTGAGCCAGCGTGAATTGTACTGGTCTGTCCTCATGGCTGTCTGCTTGCCCATGGTGCGGAAGATGGCTGCGTCTGTGCCCATGAAGTCAATGTAGACGCCAGCGTAGAGCTCTTCATCTGCAGAAGGTAGAGATCAGCGGGGGGCTCCCACCTAGTCCCGTCCACCCACCTTCTCCCACTGCCCCAGGCTCCATCCAGCCCCAGCCCCAGCCAGTAGCCACCAGGCAACCAAGAGCCACTGCCTGTGGCCATCGCAGAGAGCTTGGGAGGTTGGCACTGGTCTGTAACCAGGACCCCCACCTCCGCTGGGCCAGGTGCCCAAGGACTGGGCATCCTGGGCGCCCGGCCACCTGCAGCTGGAGCGGGCAGGGGTGGCAGGGGCAGGGGCCCAACTCCTTGGGGATATTTGGGCAACACAGGAAGACGCTGGGAGCAGTTGTCCCACCTTGCCTGCGTGTTCCCTCTGCCCAACGCAGGCAGTGCCGGCCCCAGGGAGCTACAGGACTCACTTATCAATGCAGAGACGGTGTCTACTTTGGGGTCGTAGGAACACTTCCCCTTGCCCGACTCCAGCTTGTCTGGCTCCAGGTAGAAGATATAATCCTGGAGAAGGAAGCAAACGGAAGAGCTGATTACACTTTCACCCCTCCATCCCCGTGGCACCTTCCAAAGCCCTCTGGGAGGGGCAGCCTCCTCCGGGATGGAGCTCAGCAGTGAAGATGGATGCAGATGGACCACACTGGGGGTCTGCAGGTCTCCTGAGAAGCTGAAGCCCCGCGAGCTGCTCCTCCAATGTTGCTGGGTGCTTCTCCGTGCCCTCCACTGCTTGGAGACTTGGCTGAGCCACCAGGCTGAAATGGGGCATCCATCCCCCATGCCCGCTTCTGGGCAAACATCTCCCTCCGGCCGCCTCTTCGCTCCGGCCGTCCGTGCTGCACATCATGAGGTGCCACTTGGCCAGCTCCAGGTCACGCAGCTCCGGTGGCTTTGGCAGGCAGGGTTTGGCCAGCGGCACAGCTCGGCATGGCTCAGCTGCCGGACCCACCATGCTCCTCCCGCCAGGACCCGTTTTCCAGCGGGCGCTGCTGGGGTGGCATCACAGTGAGACGCTGCGCCCGCTCCGGGGGAGCTCCAGGGGATTCGCCCCATGCCGTTAGCAGTCGTCTCCCTGCCGTCGCCTCTGCCTTCCCTGCGGCCACCCCCAGCACCGTCACGCGTCCACGGCCAGGGGTGAGACCCACACTGCCTCTAGAGACGCACACAAAATCTTCTGCCAGTTCTGGCTGGGGGCAGGCAGGGCCAGGCTGGCCCAGCCAGGTCACCCCTCACCCCTGGTGTATGGCCCCCCGGAGCTGGGACAAAGCAGCAGTACGGCAGCACCCATGAGGAGCCCGGGCGTGGGGGGGGAACCTCAGGCAACCAAATCGGGCTGACAGAGCTGCCCGCTGGCTCCGTGCCTCGGCTTTTTTTTGATGCCTGGGTGACGGACATGGTGGCAGCCACCCTCCATCAAGAGGCGAGCAGGGTCCTGGCAGAGCCCCCATCTCCGGGAAGGACAGGAGGGGGTGGGGAGCCGGGATGCTCACCGCGCACATTTCCCACCGGAGGGTTTGCTGGCACCAGCTCCTCCTGGGGCACCCAGCCCCAGAGATGGGCACGGCCATGCTTCTGCCATCCCCATTGCTGCACCGCGCCGCCTGCGCCACCGTCACCATCACAGACTCCCCTGCCCGGCGCCGGCCCCGCTCCCGAGCTGG